TGATTTGCCTTTCTAAGCGAATAGTTGAAGGAACTACTGAAGACCGATGTTATTTCAATCAGGAGAGCTTTAAGTAAGAGTTTAATATTATTTAACAGTTTAGGAAAATATTAATGTGCATTGTCTTTGGCAATTAGACTCTGTCATGATGACTTCTTGCACACAGAGGAGTAGTGAGGCCAACAGCAGGATAGGATACCCTCCTGTGATGGGGTCTAGACACGGGTGGTGGGGATGATAGAAGAATGCAGGATGTGATGAGGAGTGGGTTTCTGAGGCTGTATCTGAACTCTGCTGAGTTGGAATGGAGGTGACTGATGGGGCGGAGGAGGGTCGCAGCAATCACACTAAAATGACAAACTGACTGCGGATAGAGAGAACAGATTTTAAAATTTGACCACAGCAGGATTTGAGTTGCTGCGTTTGTGGCAGAATCAGGTTGGATTATTACTTAAAGAGTAAACGCCCAAATTCAACTGATCACCAGAGCAGGGAGATGGTGGAGGTGTTGGAGAGGGAGTGGCTAAGTTGAATTAAGAAAATTAAATGAATGTGTGAGAGAATATAACAAGTCTTCCTGCTTGAACTGACGCTGAGCTCTGTTACTCAAAAACACAAAAACACAAGATATTTGGATGGCTGGAAATGCTAAGCTAGAGAGAAGCCAGCATTAGCACTCACAATATACCAACTACAACAACTATACAACACTAATGTGCTCTCTGATTTTACAGAGAAGTAATGATAGTTGCCATGGGTACCATTATCTCTAATACTGTCACATGGCGTCAATAAGGTTGCGGCACCAAACACACTGAAATCCTGATTTGGCGCTGCTATTCTTCCCAGAAAGAAAAAAAAAAAGGTCATGGGAAAATTCCCTGGAGATGGAAAGAAGGGAAAATTAACACTGTCTATATCTGTGACATCGAGCTTAGTCACATCTGGATATTTGGGGCTTTGCCAAATTTTCTAGGGTCTCTACCTTGTGCGTGACTGTGAGCACACAGCACAGGGAGTCTGGGGAAACTGTGATATCTTTCAGACTGAGTGTGCCTCACACTGCAGCATTGTGAAGACACTGGCACCGGATCAAAGAAGAGGTGCATTGCTTCCGCCCTTCTTACCCTTCAACACACACACACACACACACACACACACACAACATCAGGAGTATTACATACACCCAATTATTATTAAGAATGTGTACCTTTACTCCAGAGCACAACAACATACAAAAAAAAACTCCCGCTTTGCAGATCATGGCATTGTTTGAAGCAGGCAAACTGGATGAAGTTTTTATGCCCTAATAAGCAATTTTGGTCATCTCTCTGTGTTCCAAAAGCCAGACGGGATGTGAGAGAAGGGGGGGGGGGGCGGTATAACTAGTAAGCGCAAGTCGTCCGTAAAACACACAACGCCCACATTTCCGTGTTAGTGTCAGAGAAAGTGGGACAGCGACAGAACGATGTGCTGCATGGCGAGCACTCTCAGTGAATGAGTCACACGACGCTTGACAAAACCTATTAGGGGGTTGTAAAGAAATGGACCTGTCAGCATCTGGAGCCTCACCAAACATCTCTGTGTGGCTGATGACAAACGAGAAGGGGAAAAGGAAGGAGTCTGATTTACACTTGTTTGTATAAAGAAAAAAGATTCTTTATGCTCTACAGCCATGATGCCTCACTCCATTTTCAACAAATGTCTTTGAGCCAATGCAACTCTTTACATGAGTTGCATTAATTTGCAGTTGGACAAACTCTTGATCGCAAAGTCTTGTTCCAAAAAAGAGTGCCTCCTGCAGTGTGTGTGTGTGTGTGTGTGTGTGTGTGTGTGTGTGTGTGTGTGTGTGTGTGTGTGTGTGTGTGTGTGTGTGTGTGTGTGTGTTTAAGTTGTGGCGTGAAGAACACCTCTATCAGTGTGTAGAGAGAGTTCTCTGACTGAGCATCTGTTTGGTAATTTACTGTGACAGAGGGAGGGCTTTTGTAGGAGGAAAGCAATTATTTTTTGTAAAGCCCTTCAATCACTGAGACATAAAGTCAGGCTAGTTTGGTAAGGAACATTTTGAACGGACAGTGTCACCTGAGTGACTGTTTCAACAGTTAACTGTGTCTACGTTTCCATCCCATCTCCCCTTATCCTATTTTCAAGCAGGGCACAGTTTCGGCAGATGGCTGTTTCGTCATGAGCCTGCATTTGCCCAAGATTTCTGCCTGTTAAAGGACGTTTTTTTTTTATTGCCACTGTAACTTATGCTATAGTGCTACGCTCATGATGGATTAAGCTGGGTCTTTGTAATATGGCAATAAGTAAGGTCTTTTGCCTGCTTTTTGTAAAGTGTCTTGAGATAACACTTGTTATGAATTAGCGCTATACAAATAAAGATTGATTGATTGATGTGTTTGTCTTTGGTATGGGTAAGCAACAGAATATTGTAATTCCAGGTTGACCATGAGTTCATTCACATACAAGAAGGGTTGTTTGCAGCACAAAACCCATTGCAAACATTAACAACTCAAGAACAGTGGTTTAAATAAACCTTTACGGCAGACTAATATGAAGAAGTTTAACACTTAATTAATTTGCTCTAAGTAAAACAGTAGAAGCTGCCCAACTCAGGAGGCATAGGATGTGAATGCATAAATTAATAGATCTGACCTGTAGTGCATCTATGTATTCCATGAAATGTATTTACAGCAGTTTCAGCCTCTTTTTTAAGCTGTTTTTTAAGTGGTGTCAAAAGGATTTGGGAATATATTTTAAAAATGCTTCAGTCAGGCTCAGTTTTACATAGATATCTGTTTAAAAACTTAAAAATTATGAATGCCTGTTATAGAAAGAGAATCTGTGTGAATGCAAAATGGTTCGTTCTGGTCTCTAAACACTTTTGCCCTCACCTCAATAGTCAACAAGTCACAGGATCCTGAGAATTTGTCTGGTCATCAGGTGGTATTAATACCAGTTGAGCTCATCTCCCAACACATCCTGCTCTGGAGCAGTTACGGTGTGCAGCATTAATAACCTTCAGTTTACCTCAATGAGAAGCCAACCAGAAGTGGGGCGGCTGTTGCTCAGTGGTTGGTTGTCTCTAAATGGGAAGGTTGGCAGTTCCCGGGTTCAAGTGTCCTTTGGTAAGACACTGAATCCCAAGTTGTCATAGGTGGCATAGCCAGCTGTGTGAATGGAGTTAGTTGATGGGCACTTTGGCAACATCCACCAACTGCCATACATTTATGTATGAATGTGATGCAGTGTAACGGTGCTCTGAGTTGTCATAATAATATAAAAATAACTATTTAAGTTTACCACCACCGTATCACTGAATAACCACCGCTGAAGTTAACCTCAAATCTTCCTTCAAGGTACATGCTTCTGATTTTTGCAGCATCATAAGATATGAGGAGTAGCGCGTTTCTGCTTCGTCTGATGTTCGAGGGAAAAAAGAACATTAAAAATACAAGTTGGTTGAATGCCTGATTTACCGTCTTTGTTGTTTGACGAAGCACTCTGCTGGTGTCTCAACACGATATACCTTTTTTAGGAGATGAGGGAGAGAAGCAGAGCTACAGTCTAAAGAAACACTGAGTCAGAAGTTCAGTATTTTGAAAACATCGCTTCAAACGCTGGATGAAACATGAATGCTTTATGGCAGTGTTGCTAATTATTATAACAAAATATTGTTTCTGTGTATCTGAATTTTCATGGATAGATTTTTTTGTGTTTTTGTCACACTTGTTGTTTACCATGGTTAGAGTCATTATAATCTATGGTCATGGGGGAGTACACTGTTTACTTGTTTACACACTCAGTGTTCCATGTAATGTGCCCTGAAGCACTGCAACACACTTATTCTCCCCAGTAAATCCAGTGGTCATTATAATCTCTATCTGTTGATACAGAGCCTCTCTCTCCATCTCGTTTCTCACCCATCATTACCACCACAGCTACCTGAGCTGACCTCTCCATCGCAGAACAGTGACTTATTTAGAAGCCAGATCCGCTGCAATGCTTTTATGTTTCCTCTTTGAGCATCTAAGGGGAGATTTAGTTTGTCCACCATTCCCTGTGATCCTGCTACTTACTCATTCCTTCTGATAGCGACATGAAAAGTAGCTGACTGACATTAACATGAACGTTATATTTATTATTATTTATTTATTTATTACACAAGCTTCCCTAAATATTGGCCTGTGTGTTTTTATGGTTTGTCCTGACTGATTTGTTGCTGCTTTTGGTAAAGCGGATGTGGCTCAGTTGAGTCGGTCGTCTCAAAACCGGAAGGTCGGGGGTTCAATACCAAGCTCCTGCAACCACATGTCAAACGTGTCCTTGGGCAAGACATTCAACCCCAAGTTGCTTCCGCTGCTTTGGGGGCAGCGTATGAATGTGTATGAATGGGATTAGTTACTTCTGATGGTCTCACTACATAGCAAACACTGCCATCTCTATACAAGCTCAAATCAATTTACTATAGTTTAAACAATTGCTAATTGATTATTATTATTCCTTGACCAAATCATTGTTGTGTAGTCTATGTTCTAAAAGGGGACTAATTTGTTTTAATCATTTTTATTGTCAGGAAAGAGGTTAATAAAAATGTGTTTGATAGTTCCTATAGAAAACTAACACTGAAAGAAAATAGAGTAAATTGCTGATTACAATAAAATGTATTTTGTGTGAAAAATTAACTGAAGGGTAAATGTGGATAAAAGTATTTCAAACAGAGAGATGCAATATTGTCTTCTCTTAAAATATCATAGAATCCACATAATTTTCAGAAAAATGTCACATTCAAGCTGATATTGTTTTCATTCTAGAGGCTAGACTAAAATGTGTAAACTTTTCCCTTCCTATATTGTGATGATGTCACAATATTGTATCAATCGCTTAGATGACAGCTGCCTAAGTCTAACCAGCTTCACCTTTTGTCTTTCACCTTGCTGAGGCTACCAGACACTTCTTCTGCCAATCCTCTTAACATCTGCTCTTTTCTTTTACAGGCGTCTACACCTTTGGCCTCTTCACCGTTGACATCTTTGTCAATGCAGGCCAGGTAGTGACTGGGAACCTGGCACCCTACTTCCTGACGATCTGTAAGCCAAACTACACAGCACTGGGCTGCCAGCAGGCCCTGCGCTATATCAGCCACCAGGAAGCCTGCACAGGAAACCAGGATGACATCATGCGTGCCCGCAAGACCTTTCCATCCAAGGAGGCGGCACTAAGTGTCTACGCTGCTCTGTACCTGGCTGTAAGTAACTCTTCTACATTAACTATAGTAATAACTTTAGAGAGTACAATGTTATTATGGCTATTTAGGTTAAGGTCTAAAGAACATCATGTTTTAAGCTGTAAAAGAAAAACTCAAATCAAACTTGACTTAAAGGTCACATATTATTCTTCTTTTCAACAAGTTTGAATAAGTTTCAGAGCTCCCCAAAACATGTCTGGGAAGTTTCGTGCCAAAAATATACTCTGACCCTGTATTTGATCATGCCTATAAATAACTCTACTTCAGCTCTGCTCTGAACAGGCTGTTTCTGTGTCTGTACCTTTAACTGTAAGTGAGCTGTATTCGACCACGCCCCCTCTCTGGAAGGGCTTGGTTGGACCTTGCACCATTTTCTATTGTTTATGGTGAGAAGTTAGACTCAGAGGGCAGAACAAACTCCTAGCTGTGGGAGTGTCACCCACCTTGGGGAGGGGTTACTGCCCTTTGTGATGTCATGAAGGGAAAACCTCCAAACGGCCTGTTTTAGCACACATTTTCTGAAAAGTGGAGCAGGCAAAAGACAGAGAGGATGGACTTTTCTCATAATTGGTTTATAGAAAGGCTTGGGACACATATTAGTGTTAGAAAATCACAAAAATATGTGACCTTTAAATAAAAAAATGTTCCCCTTAACTCAAATGATTTAAGCTCAGATGTAGCAATACAGTTTGAAAATTATTTAGAGTGCAAAATACTATAAATGCAAATGACAAAAATATATCAATTGAACAGAGACTATTGCATTTCTGAATTACTTGCAAGGATTTCTAGCAGTCTGAAATGTTTTGGATATTGCCTTCCTTGTTGGAAGATGTTCACATTACTATACATTTTGGAGTCTGTTTTTTTTTCTTCTAATTTGCAACACGTTTAAAAGCATGGGAATCAGGGTAGTCTCCATACATATGTAAAACTGTCATCATATTAGCATAGTGAGGTTTCACATCAAGAGGCAGAGACTTTGGAGGTCACTGCTCTGAAAGAATGAAACTCACCATATTTTCCAAAATATTGAATGATCCAATGCTGTTATTCTGTTTTCTAGTCATTGCATGGCTGCCAAGTCAGATTACACAGCAAGTCTGACCAAGTTAGCATTTTCCATTCCCAATTTTCTGCACTCTCTGTTGGTGTAAGAATGCAAATGGTATGTTTATGCAAATAATATTCAGCCCAAACTGCATTTGCACACAGTTTACTGCAACACCAGTCCAAAAGCAGATGACTCAGCTGTTGACCTATACCACTCACTGATACAGTTTTTCAAACCGAGGACGGAGATAGTGTGACAGGATATCTCTCAGTTTTTTTAAGTTTTGACTTTATTTTAAGCAAACATTGCCTTTAAGCGGCATTAACTCAGTCTGTAGGGAGTTGGGTCAGGAACTAGAGGTAAGCCGGTTCAAGTCCCAGTGCAGACCAAATCTGGAAATTGATCTGGTAGCTAAAGAGAGGTACAATTCACTTCCTGAGCACTGCCGAAGTGCACCGAACCCCTCCACATCCTCCAGCTCAGGAGTGCTTGCTGTGGACAGCCCCCTCACTCTGACATCTCTCCATTAGTGCACATCCATAGGATCCTGTGCATGTGTGTGTTAGAGAGTATGTGTGTGTTCTAAGAGTGTTAGATTGAAATCTCCCCTTGCAGGATTAATAAAGCATATCTTCTTCCTCATCTAAATTCTGCCACATGGATGTATCAAGTCGTTGTGTCATTTCCTTTTTCTTGTTTAAATGATACAAAATAAATGCCTACCTTGACCTAGAAATAATACGATTTCACACTTTGTTAAAGAAAAGGCTCCAGAAGGAGCAGAACATATTGGTTTTTGTCCGTTTTTTTCATACCTGCAATTTTGCATGTTGGAAGTGATCCTCCTGCTCCGAAGTGTTTGTCAGAAGGAAATATTTATGCACCGGAAAACAAAGGTAGCTTCTCCATCAGCCACAGAGGAAATGCAAATTCTGTACTCGTGAAGAAGTCACCAGAATGTAGGATAACACATTGCTGTGGGAAATATTTGTAAAGTTTTAACTTTAACTTCCCCTGCTCTACAATCACATTCTACCTAAGTCATTTTGTTGCATGCTAACTAGACAAAGATAGCCTGTTTTTTATTTCATCAAACTCCTTCTTTCTTATTTGTATGAATAATGGACCTTGAAACTGCATTTTGGTGTTGTAGTGTAGCACATAGTATATGTATTATATACTTTACAGAAACGTAAAAAAAACAGTGAAAGGCTTTGATGTAAGCCTGCGGTGTAGTAATTAGGGTTCAGCCTATCAGACCTTCACATATATGATAGGCTGCATTGAGACTTGTGAGATAGAGCTGGATGCTTTATTGCACCATCCTCTTCTTTAAAACACTTCATGTCTAAGCGTTTGTGATAAATTGTTATCTGAGCACTTACAATAAAAAAGTCTTAGCGTGACACAATTCTAATCTCTTTGATTTCTAATGAAATCATTGCATTGAACTCAGGATTCATTTCTCACTAGACAGTCTTATGTAAGGTCCAGTTGAAGATCAAAGATAGTGAGCGAATGACGAGGACGCTCTCCTGAATTAATTTGAGGGGGTGGTTGTCTCCGCTCACAAGTTATTTCATCAAGGCTGAAGCCATTGTGATGCTGTACTGATACTGTGAAGACGGTTTGCCTTTCACCGTACTGGATGACTGATATAATATGATTTGTGTCTAGATAGTATGTTAACATGTCATGTGACCATCATCAAATGTAAGATGGAATAAATTGATATCACTTTATTTAATTACATCGTCATATTTTCTTCTAAACCTTTGTTTCTGTTGAAAAAATGCCAAATATAATTCAGGGGGACAAAAACTGTGATGGCCAACCTTACTTCTTCCGGCCACGTTCTCTATAATGTCATATTTCTAAAAAAATGAATGGGATTAAAGTCGTACATTTATGAGAACAAATATGAATTTTGTTAGTCGATTTTAATTAGGCTATGGCTAAAATTATTATTCTGAAAGGTTGTATCAGAAAAGCAGCCATCCGCCTGGGCGAAAATGATGAAAGGGGACCCCTCAAAGACATTTCCTCTGCCACAAAAGAGACAATTTATTTCAAGTCAGTGTGGTTCTTTCTTCAGAAAAGCCCCACTTTCTTGCAGTGTCTTTTCAGGGTCCTGATACTCATGACAATGGTGATGCTGATGTGCCAAAAGAATGTGCAGTTTCATATCTGCAAATGTTAAGCCCCAACACAACGAATCAGATATTTTATCAGACCTTGTTCAACCTGATCAAACTGTTGTTTTAAAGCAGGTCATCCCACAGAGAGTTAATACTCAGTCTATCTGTGTTGCAGACTACGCAAGGAAGTCAGCCTATTTTCTTATTTGTGAATCTTATACTAAATTATGACTTCACAAGATGCTCCACGTTATTACTCCGTGCTCTTCTGATATAACTATAGACTAAATTTACGACTTTAATCTCGAAATCTCAGATTTTTTCCCCCCTTTTTTTGTGGCCCTAATACTCCTTTGCATCTTCTTTTTCCTGTGCAATCAAAACCAGTCACTGTGACGAGGTTCATGGTAGAAGGAGCTTTGGATGGAGCCATTAATCGGTTGTTTTTAGTCGTTGTTTTTTTTAAAGGTTAATTTCTGGGCGTTTTGTGCCTCTATTGGAGAGATAGGACAGTGAATAGAGTCAGTTCATGAACAAATTGTGAGATTGTGTTGTCTCTTCTTTGTTAATGATATTAGAGACAATTTAGGAAAATCCTTAATCTCATGTGTTGCAGAGAGTAATCGTAATGTATCAGATGTGTTTTATGACAAGGTAACGCATTGTTACTGGGAAACATTTTAACTGACACTTTTTGATGGTGTTTTTAGTTTCTGTAGTCTTAAAATACAACTAAAGATGGGTTGAAGTGAAATCGGCAAAAAATCATGTTCGACAGCAGCAGAAGTAAAAGAACATACAGAGTGCGTTATGAGGCTTTACCATCACAGCCTTATTTCAGCTACTTGGCTAGTATTTGACTATCATCTCATCTTTTTCACAAAAGGTGCTTATATCTCATCTTTTTCACAAAAGGTGCTTATATCTCATCTTTTTCACAAAAGGTGCTTATAACTGCTAAAAATATCCTCTATGGTGTTGATGCACTCTGGCTATTGCAGGAAGCATGCGAGGCAGGTTATTTTAATTGCCCGTGTCACACATCTCAGTACTTTTAATAAGCTTCGCACTTCAGCACTAATACCGGTACTTGAATCGACATGTTTTTTTTTGCCACACAGGCTGAGGCTTCACATTATGCTTGTAGCTATAAATACAGTCTATTATACAGTTTCATTCACAAACACTACCCATTCATTTCCCCTTCTTGCATAATTATAGGTGAGGAACAGAAATTCTAGAGTACAAGTTTTACACTTTGGCAGTGCCCCAGTTGTGCCCTATCAGCAGAAGCATGGTAGTTGGCTTTGTAAAGCTCAGTGGGCCGCAGCAATTGGCATATTGTGTGCAAACATTCTGCATTCAACTGAAGTTGGGTATGTCATTAAAACTCTTCAAAAGTGATCACCCAATGATGTCTATTATAACAACACAGACACAAAGGAGTGTTTGCAGACTTTCTTGTATATTTTGTATGTTACATTTATATCTAACTGATACACCATGCGTTGGTCATCAGTCATACAACCTATGAGCTTTAAAATCCACAGAGAGCAGTACATCAGCATATTTGTGCCCTCTGATTCATGTTGGACTCATCCTTTAAGCAGCACTGGTTTTGTGCTGATGGTCAGATCTCTTTTATTTTCTGTGTCAGAGCGCCAGTGTCTGCCCCAGTGCCCATGAGCGATGGATGCATGGGCTTGGACCCTCAGTGACTCCCTGCACGACGGGGGGAGCAGATTGCCTCGGTTATCTAGGTCATTTAGCAAAGGCCATTGTGTGTGCAGTTCAACATTGAGGATATA